GATTTGCTTCAATTCGACCTCAAATAGTACCTCAGTATTTGGAAGCACCCTTTGTAAACAGTCAGATTAACCATATGCATACATGGGTTGAATGATAAACTGTGAATTGTCATTAATTTTCATACTCTGAATTGCTATATCCAGCTCTATTATTACTTCTTCGCCGTTTACACTTATCTGATACGGTTTTGCTCTAGCATAAGTAGGTTCTGCATTGTATTATATGCGTTGTAATCCACTCTGACAATCGCAGCGTTTTTGGTTTTTTTCCATACCCTTCGCTAATAACTCTTATCTTAACAGCACTATTTTCTGTAAAGTTGTTCATTTTAGAAGCAATAATTTCAAATGGTTGACCATTTATAAATATATAAATTTGGAAAGTGAAACCAGTGACGTTTGTGATGCGTCCAATTCTAGTGAAACAAATGACTTCTCATTTATTTAAAGTGACACTCGTGCATTAAAAACCCATTTTTATTTTTTTCTATCACATTTTGTATGTTGAGTTTATACACGTCATTTTTATTTTGTTTATTTGTTTGTTTGTTTGTTTTTTTGAAGGTTCTTTTCAAAAGGGGAGATTATGCGAAAGTCTCACAACAAGGTATTTTCTTTGAAACGAATAAACGTATAATTATGAAATTGTAGGACGATGAATAGGACTGTATTACATTTTTATTGTTTTTTCCTATATATACAGAGCAGCGAAAAAGTCTGACAACAAAATATTTTAAGGTGATGGAATGGGACCGTATTATTTGTAATGTACTTTTTTAGTATTCTTGAAAAGAGAAAAAATAAGCCTTTCTCTGATACATCACTCGACTTACGTTGCCATTTAAAAAAAATCAAGATGTTGGCGGTACGCTAAATGCTAACACAAATTTGACATGTTCTTTAAAAAATGCCGTATTTAATGCCATTCATAACCCTACAATTCATTTTATAATTAAAATACCTTGTTACCAGACTTTCTCTACCTTATATAAATTTGACATTAAAGTCAACCTTGCTACATATGTCACTGAGTCCAAGCAGACAGCTCCAATGCAGCAATCATACGTATAGGTTGTTTTCAACTCATCCATAATTAATTTTACAAAAACTCACACAGTCTTTTATTGCCTACCAAAAAAATTCTGAATAATTTAAGGATTTATCAGTTTTGCTGTTTTTTATTATTTGTATGGGAGCCAGTGATGGCTCGTGCTTTAGCACACAGATGATGACCGACGGAAAAGAAAAATGTTTGAATAATAGTATTAAGTAGTAATTTGTAGTACTATAAAACTATACAATAAAATGAAGAAGATTTTATACTGAATTATATTTGAAATCCAGTTTTAGTTCCATTTTACTAGCAAAAAGATCAATAACTCGTTGATTAAAGTCTTCACGGTCGTTGACAAACTCTTTTTCAGCTGATAACATTCCCAAATGCACGTCTTTCTTCTTTCATTGACTATAAAAAAGTATTTATCCTCTGCAATATAGAGCAGTATCTTTCAGCTTCGGATGTTGATGTAGGTGTTGTCACTGAAACTACCAGTAACTTAATAGTTTCTTGAAAAGTGTACCTCATATCTTTCTGTGTAACTAAGGATAAAAAGAATGGCTTCAGAAATGATTTGCAATTCTTCTCTTTTATAAAGTACTTGCAGTTCTGTTTTTAACGATTTTTTCAATAAATTGATATACTTTAACTGTATAAGAGAGCAAATATACTGTAAACCGAATATTTGCTGTTGCACGAGAATCAGATCTTTGTCAATACTTTTGTCAATACTTCCAAAGATGTCAGTAAGTTTGCATTTTTACTGGCAGCAGAAAATGGCAAGCGAATTCCTCCCTTTTGGCTTAAAAATGAAATGATAGGAAAATATTGGATGACTAATTATCTTAAAATATCTCCATTCGAACAGCTGTAGCTATATCCTTGGTGCGTGCTATGAGCTTTAATAAAGTTGTTCAGAAGATTTTTGATAACTTGCAAAAGTCATTGAAAAGTATCACTTCAGTCACTTTAGGTCTGATCAAATATATAACGTCGATAAAACGACTCTGACTGCAGTACAAGAGGTAAAGTGGTTGCTATGAAAGGCCAACGACAAGTTGGTCGAATAACGTCCAGTGAAAGAGGGAATTTAGTGACAATGTGTGCGGTAAATGCAGATGGCAGTAATATACCGCCCTTCCTAATATTTTCAAGAAAACTCTTTAAGGATCACATGATTAAAGGAGCACCAAATGGAACCATAGGAGTAGCATCGCCCTCGGATTGGATGACGTCGCTAATATTTGTTCAGTAGCGGCAGCATTTTGTATCCTATGCTCACCTAACACAAGAGTTGCTAGTTCTTCTCATAATTAACAACCACAATAGTCACATTTCTTACACATCAAGTAAAATGGCTCGAGCAAATAACATAAGTTTACTTACTTTTCCTCCTCATGCAAGTCACAAATTACAGAGCTAAAATCGCACTATAATAGTGCCTGCCGTTAGTGGTTGATGAAGCATTTTGGTCAACGAATAAGCATATATGACATTGCTGAAATTTTAGGACAGATCTCTAGCAACGTATTTTCCACAAATAATAGTGAATCGGGTTTCAAAGCTACGGGAATTTACCCGTTTAATTTAAATACTTGCATTGACGATGATTTTTTGACATACCTCTCAAAGAAGACAATGAACCAGAATAAATTAATCCCAGCCAAGCTGTAGTATCGTAACATGAAAATTTGAAACGCAACTAATAAGAGCTATTGGCAAAACTGTGGAATTGTCATCTCGGAGATAACCTAATATTTAAGGTGGTTTTAATGTTGGATTGTAAATTGTTCCATTGCTAAGGATAAATCCTAACTTACACAGGTCCATTGTTGTTATTATTCTAAACCATCGACCATTTTCGTTATCACACAAGCCACTACCAAAGTTGCACCACAATAACAAAAGTCTACCAGAAGAACAGACCACAAGCTATAGATATTTTCAAACCCAAAAAGTTTTCAGTCTCAAAGCCTTAAGGACATACTCAAAAACTACGGAAACTCCAATATTTAAGGAAATCCAGGAACAGGGGCACTTTAAGAAAACCAGAAAATCAAATTTAAACAAAAGCAAGTCTACTACAAGAAACATTTTCAGCTTTAATACAGAGACCCTCAATATAGAAAAAATTAGATCAAAGGAATGACGATAGTAGCGATACAGAATCTAATGCCAAAAGCTTAAACCTTACTGACTGATGATATTAATGGGGCTGAAGTACCTACCGATCATAAAGACTATGGTGAAATTTTGGTTGGAAGTATTATTTTAGTTAAATTTGCTACAAAAAAAGCAAATTAAATATTGTAAGGGCCAGGTTTAAAGATTATAGTGTCAGCTTTTTAAGAAAATGACGAGAAAACAAGTTTTCTTCTTCTGATGTCCCATATCAGTCAACTGCCCCATCAGAAGATATCGTGATGTCATTACCGTCTATGGTATCGACGGGAGGCACCGCAAGAGTTCAACGGTATCTATATTAGGCTGAATTTATGATCTGCTTCATGAATTCAATATTTCTGTTTTATGTTTCGACCCAATAAATAATATTTTTGTTGTCTGTCCACTGTACCCTTAAAATTTGGCCACTGTTCCATACTAGTTGGTACAGTGAGCGAAAAACATATTTTTTTTTTGAAATGTACAAACTTTTTGGGTAAAGGAGGTAATATTTACATTTCTATATCAATGCCACTTTAGAGTTGATAAATATCCTCAGTTTAGAACTTATGCTAATTTATAGAAAAGGGTGGCCACTGTTGGCAGACCTTCTCTACTCATAAACTGTATTATGAGTCTGTGATTCAAAGTTCCACCTCTTTTATAATGATCGTGGTAATCCAATTAGGCATTCCAACGACCTGTCCAAATGGCTACCAGTGGGTAATGACAGTTTAGATATGGCAACCCTGTTGTCATGTTGTCATTAACAGGGTCAATGATACATATATAGTTATATAGATTGCTCAAAGCTGGTCGTTTACGAGCGGCCATATTTCCTGGCAAATATTTATTAATTTGAATCGGTTTAGCAAAAATGTGTTTTAAAACCAATTTTTAGCCTTTAAATATTTAAAAAAAAATAATTGCTTACATTTTTACTGCAAGACATATGCTTATGTTTATTTTGAAAAATATGGTTGATCAATCTATGTACGTATCTATTTCATTGACCTTGTCAAATCACCAGGCCTACAGGGTTGCCATAATTTTGCCATATCATAACCCGTCAGAACCCACTGGTAGCCATTCAGTTTGGAATGCCTAATACTTTTGTCCATTTAAATGATGCACTGCTCATTATAAGGTTAATTTGATGTGCATGTAAAATAATATTTATCCTTATTTATTTTAATACTCCATTTACCTATCCGCTCATGAGTGATGATCCGTCTTACTTTGTGCGATTAACTTATTTGGTGCGTCACTAATTAAAGGAACGATGTTTTTTAAAAATGCAATTTGCTATTGAACTTGCATTGTGTCCAGTAGGATTTAAAAATTGTAATATATATTGAACTAAACAAGAAATATTTGTAGAAACATTTTGCGCTAGTGCCCACGTTCCTTTAGCTTCTTAGGAGAAGCCGCCACCTGGTGGTATCTAGTATCATATTTACACTTTATTTAATCAAGATAGAAAGTCACATTTAGAGTGTATGGGTTGAAATTCTATATTATAATAAATGTATTAAAATACCAACCCCCAAATATTGTCATTGTATAAAAATAAATTAAGCTGGGTTCGATAATAAATGCTTCATTTAACACTAGAAAAAATATTACTTTTGTACATTCCTTTTTACATTTAACAAATGCTCTGTTTGTTAAATGAACACAATTATTTTTCAACTCAATTATCATTGTACAAAAGTACATGATTTTCTTCATTTTCCTTTGCGTTATTTGTACAAAAATCTGTACAACATTTCATTATTTGTCAACGACTACTCGTACTAGGTTCTATTTTCTTAACGAGCTCAGAAATGATTTCTCTGTATATAATATGGTCCATGTTTGCACCTAACATAAGTAAAATCCACCAATCGCCCATATCTACTTTGGAACACAGACTCTTGCAAACTTCTATTGGAATGTTTCGATTCTTCGCGTGCAGAATACGTGGCCTAATTTTCGGATAGGCTATAATTAGGATCCTGTATAGGATGAGCACGGTCAGCAATGTAGCCATTATCATGAACCAGAACCATATGAAAATATACGTTTTTTCGTTAACTATATTCAAAGGCAGGATGCACAAACTGTCGTGTTTTTGAATGCTTCCGGTGGGACCATATTTGTGGAACAAACACTTGGTTACTCTCGGAAATATGTACACCATTGGGTCGATTCTGTCCTCTTGTGCCGCGTCCGAGAATTGCATGACCCTCCAACCGTAGGAGAGGAATTCGCCGTCGAAGAATTTGTTCATGAGGAACAACTGGACTATGATGTTGATCAGGCATAGACACTCGCAGCCGAAGTATCGCAGAGCGTACAAGTTGTGTCTCTGAAAAGAAAAAAAAAAATATAAATGTCAATGTTAATTGTAATGCATATTAGGTCAAAATAATTTAGTATATCTGTAACAGCCAATTTATAAAACCAGGCGGTTTATATACCGTCTGGACGCTGTATATACCGCCAATATTGCTCCGCTATACATGAAATGATGATAGAAATATAAACGGCCTAGACAGTATAGTATATAAACCGTCCGAATAGTTTGCTCTGTGTCTAATACAATATCATTGTGGTGGTTTTTGGTGGTTTTTGTACTGTTTTTCATAAAACAATAGAAATTGACAAGAATACGAGGTAAGGATCATCTTGAAGCTACAAAATAATCAGTTAAAATTAAATTTTAACACATATTTTAATATTATTTTGATATTATTTAAAACATAACATCCATGTTATCCATGCCCCGTGCATACAATTGTACAGGGTTGTATTTAGTATTTTTTACTGTGTGACCTTCTCGTTATTCATCAGTGGCAATACCTAGTACAAGATAAGTTGGTTTCTTTCGTTTAGCCACAAAAGATGGTATTATTTCAAAATATTACTCACGTTCTGAATTTAGTACCTGCCCAATTAATATTTTGGATAAAAATATTTGCCCTGAGAACTTTCTCCCTCTCAGAACAGCGGGCAATTGTAAAAGTAAAAGGTGTGCAACAAACACATAAGTGTTACGAAAAGTATTCTTTATGTACATCAAAACCAAGTTATTTAGGATTATTTAAAATTAAGTAAAGGTATTTTGATGCTTTAACGAGTCTTGACTAGGGAAAATTCATTAAAAATACATAAATTCCAAATCAAAGAAAGAAATGGTACCACATTTTAAACAAATCAATCATAAATTATGAGATAAATTTGATACAAAATCGATTACAAACACAAATCGTTCAAGAGTAAGACTGCTAAGATTTGCTTTGGCTTTACATTAAGGATAATAGTACTTAGTAATATTATCACACCTCCTAATAGATTATTTGTGTTACATTTTGATAATATAGATCAAAATTTCAGACGATCAGTCATCAAATGAATTTAAATCTCACCTAAGAGACAACGTTTCGATAATGGATTTTTAAACAAAATTGATGAAACTCGAGTTAATAGTTTATCTATTAAAAAGACAAAAAAACTTTAATATTTTAATAGAAAACAGAAAAGTCAAATTTGCAAATTAAAAAAGGCTTTAAGGTAACACTAAAACTGCAGTCAAAATTTCAGAATCAAAGATATTTCAACAATATAATTCGAAACTATTATGATAGTAGGTTTGTTCGGATTGCTTTTTAACTTTATGCAAACCGTCCGAGAACCAGTGGAAGAGTTGAATTCTAAATTATTCGTGGCATACAGCTATTAAACTATCCACTGGTCAACTAGTCCTCTGATAGTTCTCAATGTATTTTTGAAGAACCTGAACAGACTTAGTATGAGTGCTGTGGTAATGTTTTAAAGATCAAAAACATAATCAAACCATACGTTGACGATTGTCTAATATGTATTCCTGCAAACCAACTTAACTATACAAAAATCCAATACCTTCCGTATAATAATAACTTTTTTTTTTGACCTCACAATACGATGAGGTTGGTCATATTAATACAATTAATACTAAACATATCTGGTCTGGTAGATATTTAAATTTTAATACAAATGCACCAATTGCACACAAGAAAAGGGTTGTTCTCAGTCTCACTGATAGAGCAATAAAATTATCAAACCCAAAATACCACACAGAAAATTTGGAAAAAATTAAAAATGTCCTAGATAACAACATAATTATCCAGCAGAATTTTACAATCCTCTTATCAAAAAAAGAATTAGTCAAATTAAATTTTCAAAAATATTAATAATAATAATAAACCATAAAAATAATATCGCAACTAATAATGAAAATTCCACTGCCCTAACTAAACATGCGTTAGAAAATTTGGACTCTTTCGATTTTGAAAATGTAAGAATTCTCGAAAATGAACCTAATCTCAACAAAAGAACAATCCTTAAGATGATACATATTAAAAAAAAAACAGCAACTCTGTAAATAATAAAACAGACATAAAAGATTTATCAAACGTTTATTTTAATATTATTAAATAATTGTAAGCTTCTAATCCTTAAATGTAACGCCACTGGTAATGTTTCCCTACTTTATCATTATCGTGTTAAACCAAATCAATATTATTTCGAATACACCTTTACCTGTTATTTTAAAAATTTTTAAACTGTTTGTAATCGTCCCCTTGTTTTTTTTTACTTTTTAAATTTTGACTGTACCCGAAGATGGAAAAAAATAAATTTCCGAAACATATGTAGTGCTGTGCTAAACGATTGAAATTAAAACCAATGACCAATTAAACCAAGGAAATTTTTATTTATATAATAAACAAAATGATTGAAGTTACTGCATTTAATTTTTTTTCTGTTTCAGTTTATACGGATGGTTGTTTTTATCTTATTTCCAAGAATTTTTTAATTTAGAAAATTTATTAGGCATTAGTTTTTTTGAAATCAATTACATGAATGTTTTTCAATTTCTGATTTTCATTATTTTAACCAAAATTAGTTAACGTACCTAAATATTTGAAGATAATTTATAATACTAGAATTTGTTTTTAAGTCAAATTCAATAGATAAACTTTAGAGAATAACATTTCATAAAATAAGGAGTATTTTTATAGAAACCAGTAAATATTTGTAAAAATAGATTGTACTTTGTATGGAAATAAACTAATATATACAAATAATGATAGTAGGTGGGGTTATCTGGGTTTTCTTCACCTGTAAATAAAATGACACCATCAGTCATCTTTAAGTCGACCCAGGTGCCACAGCAAATAATAATAATAATAATAGCCATTCTTGCCTTGCACAGGCTCTGCTTGGGGTTTAACTCATATGGGAGGGAAGTGTAGGAAATTATATAGCAAATAATAATAATAATAGCCATTCTTTCCTTGCACAAGCTCTGCTTGGGGTTTAACTCATATGGGAGGGAAGTGTAGGAAATTATATAGCAAATAATAATAATAGCCATTCTTTCCTTGCACAAGCTCTGCTTGGGGTTGAACTCATATGGGAGGGAAGTGTAGGAAAATATATTATTATTATTGTTGTCTTGCCATTTATTTGATTGATTTATTTTTCTTGGGAATTTTTAGTAAATATAATATAGGTAAAGCTTTGTATGGAATTTACTTTACCCCTCATAATTTTTTTTCATAGAATTTTACATTTTTATTGGCATTTCGTAATTGTTACAAACAACTAATAAAAAAGCAAAATTTTAATTATAATTAAGAGGAAAATTTACTTCAGTATTTATCTTTTTCTAACCAATACGAAATAAAACCATGAACATTTCTATAGTTAATTTTAATTTTTTGTGAATAAAAAAAGGTACCTTTGGGCAAACGTGAAATTATTTTTTAAAAAATTGAGAAAATCTTTACACAAACAAAATTTTGCTATTTTTTGCCATCAAAATTTGATAAAACTTTGAAAAAGAGGCTCCAGAGGAACATATTTAACGTTTATCTACACGTACATGCTTTTTATTTCATTAAAAATGAAAACACCTAAATGAAATTTTGGATGGCTATATTTTGTATTAGATAGAAAATGATAATTGCTAAAGTAAATTCTCCTAGAAGTGGACGTAAAAAAATCCCGCCAGTTTTTAAATTAAATATAATATTACGGGTAACTACATTACCAACAGAGTAATAATTAATATAACAGGAAACTACATTACCGATAGAGTAGGATTGATTAGTTCAACCATCCGCAGCCACAGGTCGTTGTAAGCTAACTTGTAGCCAAATTTCTACATAGACACGGCAACTCTTAACTATCCTTTTATTTATATTTAAAACATTTATTAATCGGCTAAAAATTTTTCATACAATACATCAATATATAATTAAAAACATACTGTAAACAGTACAAGTATGCGGCCCTATTAGTAGACTGATAAGGCCTAAGACGATCCTTATTCTTCCTCCATGGGGTGGCGACACGATGAATTTTTGGAGGGAGCCTTCTTCAGTACTATAGATAGTCCTACACTCAAATTGAACGTGAGAATACGTATATGATGATAGGAGTACTAGTGTTTACTGATACCTCCTATATATGCGTCGGTGAAAAAAATTTATCACCCCACATTTGAACACTATTCTCTAGTGTTATGATCACTATAAGTCCAAAAATGCCAAAACAAATACAGGTATGTAATATTTAAATTACACCGAGAAAACAAGGTCTATTAAACATGTTAAATAGAAAAAAATTTGATTATCACTAACAAATTACTTCATTTTCGGTTAATACCAGTAATTAAACGAATGTTGCTGGAAATGTATTAATTTGAAACTGCTGTAATTAGTCAATTGTTTAATAGCCAATAGCATATTAGTAAAAACTTTTAATACCCACTAGCTTTCTTATTACTATTAAACTGATTTAGTAGTGCCTATTAAACCCTTTAATAGCAGTTTGCTAACCATAAATAAATGTTCGATAACCACAAGTAAATTTTAACGATTGTTATCCCCTCTTTTTTTTTTCTCTCCTGGGCCCGTCTGACTATGTGTCTCCGAATAACACTGAAGTTCATAGCACCCACTCTATTACCTTTGTACCTTGTACAAGTTTGTACAGATCCTTGGGTGAGTGGGTTCTATACGTTGTTGGATCAACCTGGGGTTGTCCAAAAAGAGCCTGTCTTTTGCGATCTAGAGCTTCGCATTCGCACAGTATGTGTTTGGCCGTTTCTGGTTTCTTGTGACATATTCGGCACATGAGTTCCCTATTGTACATGCCAATTTTGTTCAAGTGTCCCTTTACTGGGGAGTGCCCAGTCATGAACCCTGTTATCACTTTCAACTGGTTCCTATTCATTAAGAGTAGTTCTCCAGTTCTTTTGGGACATGGTCTGCCTATGAAGGCTTTTCCATGTGCCTGTTTTGGGGTGCTTCCCCAATAGTT